GCCTATCTTACTTACATGGGTTGGCATAACTTACTGCGAAAATGTCAGTAAAATCTATTTAGCGGTTTTTGTGTCAACAACCAAAAAAGTTTCCATTTTCTACATTTAGATTAATTAAATGCAGTGAGGAGTACATTTTCCCCTATTGTACCGCGCCAATTTTTATAGGGATGATGCGTATTTGCTACCAAGTTACTCAGACAAATTTTGAAGTGGAATCTGTAACCATTCTTAATATATAAACTTAGAAAATTAATATTAGTTCAAATGTATAATTACTTTCGATGCGATAACTCCACATCCACTCGCAATTTTCGAAGTTTATATAGCCTATATTATTCCCCTAGGATGGCATGATGTGCGTTAAAAATCTGTTCAACGGTTTTTGAGTCTACAAACAAAACATTTTTTATTTCCTACATGAAGATTATTTAAGTGTAACGGAGAGTGCATTTCCACCGATCTTATCTCGCTCATATTTTTATGAATAATGTGTATTTACACCAACGATATGCAGATAAAATTTGAATGTGTTATCTTTGAATGCGTTATCCGTTCTTAAGATAAACCCATATTACATGTTCACAAAATTTGAGGTATGTTTACTATTGATGCTATAACTCTGCATCCACGCGGAATTTTAAAACTTTATGTAGCCTATGTTACTTTCAGGGCATGCCATACTGTGTAAATCTCATAAACATCTGTTCAGCGGTTTTTGCGTCTATCGGGAACATACACACAAACAAACAAACAATTTTTTTTTCTATTTTATATATATAAGATAGATAGATATGGATTTATGTTTCGTTGTATAAATCCCATAAGTAGAGATAAGTTGTAGCCAGCCAACCTTAATTTTCTTATAAGTAATTATGAGGAAATCTGTAAGATTTTTATTAATAATACATGTAAAGTTAAAAATTTTAAATTTTTAGATTTTAAGGTAATTTTTTTGGGTTTCAAATCTAGTAACAAATTTTCTAAAAATAAATTAAATAAATTTCTTTAGCCATCCGAATTTTTTGAAGCTTTGTCTAAAGCAAACTTGAGACGCTACATGCAAAATTTTATTTTGTTCTCGTGTGTAAAAAGTGTCATTCGAACACATTCGTCTTGGGACACTATTTGCTTAAGATCGGAGGAAATGTTAACTTTCATATACATTTCCTCCGATCTTAAGCAAATAGTGTCCCAAGACGAATGTGTTCGAATGACACTTTTTACACACGAGAACTAAATAAAATTTTGTATGTAGCGTCTCAAGTTTGCTTTAGATAAAGCTTCATAAAATTCGGATGGCTAAAAAAATTTATTTAATTTAATTTATTTTTAGAAAATTTGTTACTAGATTTGAAACCCAAAAAAATTACCTTAAAATCTAAAAATTTAAAATGTTTAACTTTACATGTATTATTAATAAAAATCTTACAGATTTCCTCATAATTACTTATGAGAAAATTAAGATTGGCTGGCTACATCTTATCTCTACTTATGGGATTTATACAACGAAACATAAATCCATATATATATATATATATATATATAGCTGGACCCGTGGCACTTCGTTGCTCTGCTAAAGTTGTCAACGTTAATTTTGAATATACTCCAGCTGCAACATAAACTAATTTTAATTTAAAAACCAGTAGGGAAAGCAGTAAAATCGGACGGTAATTTTTGGTAAAGGCTTCTCACAGTTACTAACTGCTTCATCAGGTGAAGTGTATGTTATTTTTTTCTGACATAGTCTCCATTTTAAATCAAGTATTAAGAAACTAAATTCGGACGGAGCCGACTATACCAGTAAGGAAAGTAGTAAAGTCGGACGGGGCCGACTATATGATACCCATCACCAATTTGGGTACATTCAACAGATGAATCCTAACAGACGTCGACGTTGTGTAAAATGTGTGTCAATTTTGTGTAAAATCGTACGAAAATATATATGTAGAAGTTATATCAAAATCTGAACCGATTTCAATGAGACTTAACAGAGATTAATTTATTTTAAATACAGTTCATTGTACACAATTTTGTGACAATCGGACAAACTTTGGGTCTGTAATGCACAATTTACATAAAATCGGAAGAAAAGATATATAGGAGCTACATCTAAATCTGAACCGATTTTCACGACACTTAACACACATCATTCTAGTTCTAATTCATTACGCTATGCCGTGCACATCGAAAGATATACCTAATCTAAATCATTACGCTATGCCAAATTTCGTGCAAACCGAAATATATATAGATAGGGACTTTGATACAGCATTTAAATTAAATCGGACGATTTTCAGGAAACTTAACACACATCATTCTCGGACAAATTCAGTACGCTGTACCAAATTTCGTTCAAATCGAAGGATATATAGGGACTTTGGTGCACCATCTACAATAAATCGGACGAAAATATATATGGGAGGAATATGTACATCTGGACCGATTTTCAGGAAACTTAACACACATCGTTCTAGACCTATTTCATTACGCTATGCCAAATTTCGTGCAAATCGAAAGATATATAAGGACTTTGGTACACCATTTACATGAAATCGGACGAAAATATATATGGGAGCTATATCTAAATCTGAACCGATTTTTCTCAATTTCAATAGGGTTCGTCCTTGGGCCAAATAAGTGACCTATGCCAAATTTCATCCAGTTCGGATCATAAATGTGACCTCTACTTTGTTATACCCTACACAACTATGTTGTCAGGGTATTATAGCTTTGTGCAGCCCCGAATGTTTGTAACGCCGCGAAATATTGGTCCTAGACCCACCTTTTAGTATACCGATCGTCATATCTCGACTAGCTGAGTCGATCTAGACATGTGTGTCCGTCCGTCCGTCTGTCCATTATAATTTGTAAACACGATACAGGCCACAGTTATGGACCAATCTTCACGAAATTTTGCATGTAGGATGGTATTGTTTTTGGAAAAGATCGGTTAATATTTAGGGGATGAAATGGACCAAATACTAAATTTTTGTCGGGTTTTCTGGTCGCTCCAGAGGACACAATTATGGCCCAAACACCGCGAATTTTTGCATGGAGAAGGGGATCGGGCCAGAGAATAAGCATGCATGTTTTGATAAAGATTGGTCAATATTTAGCGGGTCAAATGGACCCTGACTTTTGTGTGAAAAATGAGAAAATTTGTATTCTATGGCATATATATTTACTCCTGGAGGATGTAAACCCCAGGAGTTGATAGCATATCCAAGAGGAGTGGTTGGCCTTTAAATTGATACCAAATATAGTGATGTATCTACTCAGATGTGGGAGTTACATTCAAATATTTACAGGTGCTTATGTATTCAGATATTATTTAGTAACCCATTACCACATTAGAGGGAGAAATATCGCGCTGATGGCTTTGACATTTTTCATGAAGTTCCAGTTATGGTCAAGAACAACGCCTACAATTTTCGGTGATGATCAGATTAAAATTTTGGGATGAAATGGACCGAAAACATAATTTTTTGTGTGTTTTCGAGTAGAGTATAATCCGAAAATCACAACACACCCACCGGGAAGGTAATCTGGACAAGTAATTAGAAGGACTGTACTGAATATTCGAAAAAAGTAAGGAAGAGGTGTTGTTAACCTTTAATCGGACAAGAGGGGGCAAATATCACGAAATATTACTCAGACTCGGAATAAACATCCTCAGAAAGTTAGAGTTCGTGGTAGTTGTGTAGGGTATCGTATGGTCGGCCCCGTCCGACTATACTGCTCCGCTCACTGGTTTTTTACTGTTCGTATATATAGAGCTTTCGGAGCAAGGGCCGGGTTGCCTTTGAGAACCTTATCTATAATCTTATGAGCGACATTTTTGTAGACTATTAGGATTCCATTTTTGTAGACGTTTAATAATAATAGGCGCACAAGGACTCAGCATGAAGCAGATTATGTTGCACAAAAATATTTCTCTTTCAATTTGATTAAAGAAGTGTCATATCAAATATGACCTGCATACAAAGACATAAAGCCTGTCTTTAGAGCTACCAACAAAAAAATTAATCACGCCATAACTCATAAACTTACCTATGATAATTTTTTATTTCTGGGTTCTTAATAAACTTGATATAAAATACACATTTGAGGCTATTAAGATTAGTATGTATGTTCTATAGACTAATAAACATGAATCTAATTGTTCTTAATCTGAACTGAATTGTACCAGATATGACAGGAACTTCAGAATATTTTTTTACTAATTCCAAAAGTTATAATTCTATAATGAGAATTTTATAGTTATATGTTTTCTTTTTTAGTTTTCTTAACTATAGAGGTGTATTGTGCAATTTATTAGAATGCCGGTCTTACCGACAAAACTATATACATCTTAGTGAATTATTTCTATACACATTAAAGGGTGTTGAACGATTACACAAAATTTATAATAAAGCTTTTGTTTACCGATTCCCACATAAAAAGCTAAAATTTCTAAATGTATAAAGAAAATAAAACGAAGAAAAAAATAAATTATTTATTAACATAAATAGCAGGGATAAACTTTCATTTTGATATTTAAGTTTCATGGAATAGGTGATTGAATCTCTGAGGAGAAGCAACATGAATTTGTATTCACAACATCAATAATAACAACTAAAAGCCAATTTTCAATAAATTTTGAGCAAACAAAAAAGAAACAACAAAAATTAAAAAAATCGAACTTTAAACAGAAAAATAAACTAATTAAAAAGTTAACAAACTAAATATTTGGTGCCAATTAAAAAAGGATGAATTTGTATTACCCTTCAATTTGCTTCTTCTCTTTTCACACACTCTCTCTCTCTCTCACACACACCCGTACACTTATGTTTTTGGCTGAGACTCAAACTCGGAAAAAACAAGATATTGATATGGAACCCCATTTTTTGCGTTAATGTTTTTGAACAAATGTGTTGACTTGTATTGTGGGTTATTGGGCACAATTTGCATTCTCTCCTTCTCTCTCAGAGTGTGTATTGTTAATTAAAGAGCATGGTCTATTGGCAATTATCGGAGAACTCAAATGCCGACGATTGACTGGCGGCCCGTGAACGCGTTGTTGTCGTGGTTGTTAATTGCGAATATCCACCAAAACCACTACCCAGACATATGGCACTATCGAAATCCGAAGTTGCCGATGTACCCTCAGGTTGTATCAATGGTTGCAATGCCGAATCACGTTTACCTCTAGTCGTTGTTTGCAGGACTGTCATGGCAATGGTTGGCGATATGGAGGATGATATCGAATTACAAGATGCCTGCCGCTGCAAAGGCTCCAGCAGAAGGGGTGTGTTAACATCTGTATTGGTTATATCGATAGTGGAGGCGGCAATTGTGGTGGGAGGTTTGACTCCAGCCATAGCTGCCACAGCTATAGCAGCTAACATAAGTAGGATATTGTGGGGAAATTTTTGTTAATGATATTCATGCAGTTGATGGCACAACATCACCATCGACGTTGTCATCGATGACGAAGATGACGATGATGGTGATGCCAAGCCATGGAATGTTAATGATGATACTTTGTCGATGCTGTTGTCGACTCATAATGGGAACATGAGGTTAATGACACAACTGATGGCTGAACATTTTGTGGTTCAACAGACATGATATTGTTGAGAGTTCTGTTTTTTCCACGAACAATTGGAGCGAATGGGGAAATGGAATTATAGTCTGTGATAACTGTGTCTAAAACAGTAGATAATTTTCTATTGAAAAGTTACCACTGTGACAGCCACAGAGTGAAATTTTCTATAGAAAATTTTGCGCTGTAATCGTCATAGTGTGAAAATTTTCTATAGAAAAATTTCCGATGTAATAGTCACAGTGTGAACATTTTCTATAGAAAATTCTCCACTGTGATAGACACAGTATGAACATTTTCTATAGACAATTGCGAAGAAAAATTTGCACTGTGGCCATCACAGAGAGAAATTTTTAAAGACGTTGTTTTACTCTTTTAATCCCTGAGAGTATATAATTGATTATACTGTCTCCCTCTTGCCCAATGTCCTCTTAAATTGTTTCTTCTTTCCATTCCCTTCTTTCTTAGCAAAAATTATTTCCCGTTCTTAAAAATGACTCCCCCGACTTAATTTAACTTACCTTGTGTAATTGCTAGTGATGCGGCGGGTGGTAAATGTGAGGACGTTGCCGAGGTGTATACCCCTAATGAGGTACCTGTGGTTGTTACGGCGGGTGGATGTGTACCATTGTTGATGCCACCTGATGTTAGCGGACCACCGCAACCATTTGTATCGGCGGTTTTCATTTGAGCTTCACGCTCCACTAAACGTTGTCGTAGTAGGCGAATTTTTTCTTCTTTCTAAATGGGGAGAATGGAAGAGACAAGAAGAAAGAAACAAATTATGGTCAATATTATGTTAAGGGTTAGTAATGATTAAAAAAATATGTCTTATTAAGAAAATGGATCTTTTAAAAGTTAAAATAAATAAACACTAATTTAGCTACACAATATACTTGCGATATAAAAAATATAATATTTATAATTATAACACAAAGGCAAATCTTTTTGTTAAGTTTAAATTTGAAACAATTTAAATAATGATAGGTCCCATATCTTCAATTTTGTAAGAAAATCTCAGATCTTACTCCGCATTTCTTTCGAACAGAAACATTGATGCCTCTATCCTACTAAATCGAGTGCAGCTTATTTATATTAATACTTTCGGAAAGTGTACTATTGTCTCGATCCTTCAAATTGACTAATATAAATAGGAAGTTTCTCAAATTATGTTGTTCCTTCCTGTAATGGGAAAAAGTAGTAAGTTAAGGTACTTGTATATAGCACGAAATTGTAATTTTATATTTTGTACAGCGCATCATTTGTTATACAGAGACCTGCCTTTATAAGGAAGCAATTTCCATTAAATTAAAAAAAAAACTCTACATCTACTCGTTCTGTCGTATACAATATTTAGTACTTTAAATGTCAATGCCAAACAAAAGTCTAAAAATTGTTGTTTTTCATAGAAAAAGCCTTTTACCAAATTTAATATCCACTCGTACCGCCTTATACTATGTATTATACTTTTTCGTTCATTTTAGAACTTATTTCTGGAAAATATTTATGTATAAATGTTTATTTTTATACAGAATCTCTGATCTTACTCCGTATTTCTTTCGAACAGAAACGTTGATGCTTCTATCATACTAAATCGAGTACAACTTACTTATTTTTATATTTTCTGAATGTGCACTATTTTCTCGATCCTCCCGATGGACACATGCAAATAGTACCATAATACGTTTTTTAAAACATGTAGTAAGTTTTAGTACTTGTGTACCATTATCATCATTTGTTATGCAGAGACATGCTTTTATAGCGAAGATTTCCATTAGAATTGCAGAAATTTAGTATTTCTGGTGCATTACGTGTTAGAAAATCCCCAATGAAAAAACTTTTCGGTATTTTTAGTATATCCTCGTTTCCTATTTAGTAATTTTTACTAACAATTTTCAAAAAAACCTTCTTTAATTTGTTATAGCTAAATATACATATAAAATTTCGGGACTATACCTCTACTCGTTCTGTCGTATACAATATTTAGTACTTTAAGTACAAATATCATACATTGCGAAAATCATTGTTTTTCATAGAAAAAGTATTGTACCCATATTCTATATCTACCCGTACCACCGTATACAATGTGGTGTACTTTTTAATACATTTTAGAACTTAGTTCTACAAAATATTTGTGTATAAATGTTTATTGACATAGTTCTAGATAAGTATCTAATAATAAGTTCTTATATTTATCCGTTCTACCGTACACAATATTTAGTACTTGTATTCCATTCGTACTCTATTTGTTTATAATATACAAAACTACATGCCGAATTTCAGAATTATACTTTTCCCTACACAGTGCAATATTTTGTATTTTTGGTGCCATATAGTACGAATTTCCAATAAACCAAGCCTCTTATTTGTATTAAGAATTGGACATTTTTGCACTCTAAACTTACATTTATATTTTTTACCATTCACTGTACAATATTTAGTACAATTTTCCAAAAATACTTATGCATATCGCTCTATTTGTAATAGTTTCAACTACAGACTATATTTCAGATTTCAATCTTTTTCTCTCCCATTATAATTTAATATTTTGTACTAGTTTAGTACTAGTTCCAAAAATTGATTACTGTATAGCATATTATTTGTAATTTCAATTCCCTCAGGTTTCATTATACTACAGTATATATTACTAAGTTTAAAATAATTATGCATAGCATTCTATTTGCAATAGAGTAAGCTACAACATAAATTCTGGATTTCTATTTATACCAGTTCTATTGTACTTTATTATTTAGCACTAATTTCCAAATGTTATGCATTAAATTATATTTGTAATAGTTAAATCTATATGCGAAGTTTAACATTTAGGCTTATTATAACTGTTTAATATATTCTAGTACTAATTTCAAAAAATATGTTTGCCCACCATTCTATTCGTAATAGCTTAAGTTACATAGTATAATATTTACGTAGTATAATATTTAGTACTTTTTAGTACTAATTTCCAAAATTGTTCGCACATTCTGAGTTGTTTATCATTTGCAAATCTGCATACAGAATTTATAGACTTGTAGTTCCAAGTGTTTCGACGTAGTACAAGTTTTAGTACTATTTAGTACCATTTTAGTACTAATTTCCATGAAATATTTTTGCACATCATTCTATTTGTAATAGCTTAAGCTACGTACCAAGTTTCAGCTATCTATCACTACCTGTTCCATCGTAGTATAGTATTTAGTACATTTTAGTACCTTTAGTACTAATTTCCACGCACATTCTTATTTGCTTATCATTGACAAAGCTGCATACCAAATTTCAGAGTTCTACTTCCAACCGTTCCGTAATAATACAGTTTTAGTACTTTTTAGTACCTTTTAGTACTAATTTCCAAAAAATATTTTTGCACATTATTCTATTTGTAATAGCTTAAGCTACGTACCATGTTTCAGATATATATTTCCACCGGTTCCATTGAAATATAATATTTAGTACTTTTTAGTACCTTCTAGTACTAAATTCCAAAATTTTTGCACACATACCACTTCACTCATCATACGCAAAGATGCATACCAAATTACAGTTTTTAGTACTTTTTAGTACCTTTTAGTACGAATTTCCAAAAACCCCGTCTTATCACACGCCTACTCACCAAACCCGACCTACATTCCAAATTTCAAGTTTCTAGCTTTAGCCGTTTCGTCTGGGCGTTGATGATCAGTCAGTCACTTATAACGCAACTCTTTTATATATATAGATTAAGTAACAACAAGTAAATTATATTGGGTGACAATTTTGATATCATGTCTAGGAGGAAACTTGTGAAGCCTTGGAAATATGTAATGTAGGGAGGCACAGTTCATGTTTTGTCATAGTTCCCACTGTAGTGGCTGTAATATGTCATTCCGGGGTATTGGAGGGTAAAACTGATTTTTTATGAAAATTCTCCAAGTTTATATATAGCCCCACACAAATATACTGATCCGTTTACGATATTATTAAAATTAAATATATATATACTAGCTGGACCCGTGGCACTTCGCTGCCACAGCTAACGTTATCAACGTTAATTTTGAATATCATATCAAAAATGTGTAAAGTGCCCATATGTTCTCCTGCCTTCCTGATTGGTAACTGACGACTGTTATATAGTAGTTATTGAATTTATCGCTATTTCTGTAATGGTGTTAATTTTTGTTTTCTTGAAAGCTAAAAAACAGATTTTTTCTCAAAGTGACAAAAATTCAAAAATTATGATGTCAACAATTTTTATCAACAAAACATGAAAATGAAGAGAAGGAGTTTAGCTAAATTATTGAACTGGTTGTTATTGTCAGTACAGATAATCACACTTAATACGACAAATTACTATTTTGCACATCTTAACATCGATCGCCTCCATCGGTTACATCCTTCATTCTAGATGTCCAAACGATTTATAATTCAAATGCACACTATTCACTTCAAGTTTTTTTTTAATCCATATTGCATATCCATACCCTTCCCCACACTGTGCTACAGGGTATTATGACTTTGTGTATATGTTTGTAACAGACAATAAGTTTGTAACAGGCAATATGTTTGTAACAGGCAATACTAATCGAGAAAGTATCACTTTCTGAGTCGATTTATGCATGTCTGTCCGTCCGTACATGTATTGTTGTGAGCAAAGTACAGGTCGCATTTATGATCCGATTTGGAAGAATATAGGCGCAGGTCAATTGATGTATGCGAAGTTTTGTTGGAATCGGCTGAGATTTAGATATAGCTTACATGTATAGTTTCGTCCGATTTAACGTAAATGGAACACCATACTGCCAATGATTGTCCGATTGCCACAAAATTTTGCATATCATATTGAGGTTACTACAGGTTGACATCTGTGAAGTTTTGTTCAAATACGTTCAGGTTTTAATATAGCTTACATATATACATTAGTCCCATTTTATGTAAATTGTGCACCATAGATCCTGTTCTATTTGTACGATATTTTGTTGT